GGAAAGGGGAGAAAGCAAAAAAAGATAAGAAATTAGCACAAAAAAGGGTCTGAAAGACAGAAAAGAGATTAAACATCACTCTCCCTTCCTAATAAAATCATCTTTGCTCTCACCGTAGGTTTTTGGGCTAATGACCACTTTCAACTCGCACTTTCTGTTGGAAAAATAAATTAAGAGTCCAGTTTAATTTTATCAATAGAAAGTTTAAAGTGGTCACTGGAGCACAAAGTGATTTTCAAAAGGCAGCTGAACTGAACAGGGACAAGGATGAGGATGCTGGGACAGCCACAATAGTACAGGCAAATGGAAAACACTATGAGCGTACCAATTTTCAACAAAATAGATAAGCTTTTATAAGAGTTCCTGCAATCCTGTAACTTTTGCTGTGGGCTTTGTTTAGACAATACTTAAAAACACAATTTCCAGAGTAGAAAACAAGTGTTTTGTGCGTTGGTCTTTATATATAGGGAAACAACAGTAAATGAACTAGGCATTAACTTCATGAACATGAGGATTATGCTTCACCCATGCTGTAAATCATTGGATCTAGTACAAGTAATTGTACTGCAATGGGTTTTGCTATGCTAACCATTTCAGCTGTGTGCCCAGTCCTTCCAAGTCTGAGCTTATGCTGTACTCAGAGCTTTGTAGGGTTTAGTCAATAGCATGTTTGATTTGAATGGTTTTTCCTAGATAACAGTAACACAAATCCATAACTTGTGTAACAAAAATCCAAAGCTTGTTTAGATCATTTAACATGCCTAAAAGCCTAAGCCCAAGACTGTAAAAAATAAGAAAAATAAAAGTAGAAAAAGCACTTCTTTAGAAGGGTCTCTGCTGCTGCACTACCAGAAGGCAAAAAGCATATTACGCTAACTATGGGCCAGAAACTGTTGTGCTCTTTTAAACCGCAGCAATGACTTGCATAAAAAGACTTCAAGGCATTTCCTCTTCTCCCAGAAGAAGCCACGAGTCTTTCTACTGCCCCAGGATGCACAGTGAAGTGACTGCAAGACAGGCGTATCTTTTGCATCCTAAACAGCAGCCTTTATTTATCAAAGCACACAGACCATGCAACGGACAGTCAAAACAAAGCAAAACCAGCAATTCTAACTACCCTAAGAAAACTTTGTTCCAAACTGAGCAGTACGTCCCACTCATAGATGGACATTACATTGCCTGTCTAGCAAATGCCCCTCTATTTTCTTCAGTTCATACCTTAATTTTATTTCACCAGCATTTATACATAGTCATCCATGAAGTTCTCAACATAGTCTTGAATCTGTGGTTTAACGTTTGTGAAGCATGCTGGTATTTTCAAGGATGAATTTGAAGCACAATCTCATTTTAAAGTATATGTGGAAAATACTGAGTTTGTCAGCAATAAGTATTTTGGCATATAGAAATTTTGCAAAGGAAAAAACCCACAAAAACCCCAAAACATAATTACAGCAAAGCAGATACTGTCATCAGGCAGCGATTTGCCATCCTTACATTTGCACAATAACAGTTCTAGCTGGATATCTTCTGCCTTTTGCTAGTACTGTGTGATAAACACAGCATTTGAAAACGTGTACACATATATATTTTCCATATCTACGTGCTACGTAAGAAGTTCCTGATGTTTAAACAAAGCAGAGACACAGAACCTTAAAAGGTGCCTCTCTTCCAGTGAGGACACAATTCCTGCTCTAAGGGCCTGGGGAAGTGTGCCTCAAATGCTAATAGCTCGAGTTGTGTGCAATAGCCCTATACTGTTTATATAGCACTTCACATGTTCAAAGCACTATGAGATATCAGCCATCACTACACTTTTATGAGGCTCTAAGTATTACCCACTAAATGTTAAGGCTCAAATGACTTGCTCTTGATCAAAAGAAACTTTGTGCAGCAGGACCATAATTATTTGAATTCGGTAATTCTGACAGTCCATTCCTATAGTGACTCAAACAAAAAAAAAAAAGAGGGGGATGGGATATTTAAAGCCAGTTGCAACTGCACTCTGTTCTGGCTGTGTTAAGTACAGGCATATGGAGGATCCCAAAGCTAACTCTCACAAAAGCAGCACCCGCCTCCAAAGAAAATGAAAACGCTGATGAAATTTTTCTATTTTAAAAGCATGAATACAAAAACTGTTTTCAAAACCTCAGTCACGTTTTTCTGAGTATATACGTCTGTCATAATCACTGTGAAGAACCTAAAAGGTAATGCTGTACAGAAATAGACCAGAAAACTCAAGATGTAAATCACATCATCTGCACTGAAGCAGGTTTTCCTTCTTTGCTGTTGCTGTTTTGATAAAGGTTGGGTTTTGATTTTTTCCTCTTCCTGTAGAAATCAGGAGGAGAAGCAAAGACCAAGGCAACTTGCAATAAGACTTAATACCTTTTAGTAATACAAAATATATTCCTGTTTTTAGACAGAATTTCATCCTATGAAAACCCAGTTGCCATTGCTGATACTTATTAACTCAGAGTCAAAATATCAAGTCTCCCTTCCCATGAAGGAAACCCAATGGAGCAGATGGTGAAAAGCAGCCAATCAGCTTTTGCTACCTAGAAATAAATCCTTCCTTGAAATAAGGAATGTTGTGCTCGGGGACATGATTTAGCAGAGAGTTGTTAGAGTTCAGGTAGTATGGTTCGGTTGCGGTGGGACTCGATGGTCTTTAGAGTCTTTTCCAACCTGAGCAGTTCTAGGATTCTAATAAAGGCTGAACGGAATTGATACTGAAGATTTTTGTACTTATAGCTGTAAAAATCTTCATGCAAAAAATACAAATATTGAGATTCCAAAATAGGAAAATGAAAACTTTTTTTAAATTCACATCCAGCACATCCTATTGTACACAGTTTTCTTTCCCACATCTTACATTTTAACTTGCACACAGCCTTTTGTTTCCATACATACTGTATTTTTTCAGAACACAGCTTTGCAGTTACTGCCCTTCAAATCTTGTCTGCAGGATCATGTGCAAAATATACAGTACTTATACAGAAGCGTATGTCTCTACACACAACACAGATTCAAGAAATAAGGGAAGGGTTCCTGTTTAAACAGAGGAGGGTAAGAAATTCCCTTCAAAAGCAGTACATTGTACAGAGTTGTACTAACAGAACTGTTGTGTTTTAGCCAAGTTGATCATGTTGTTTGTAATGTTTGCCCCATCTATCCTGCCACTCTATTAGACATTCTTGGGTACAGGCAACTCGGAACTCTATGTAAGACTGTTTGCTATATCAAAAAATCCAAAGTTACATCACTGAGATATTTTTTAAAATATTAAAATTTAAGCACAATGTCAGTGAGCATTGCTTCATGGATATTAATGTAAAAAGCAGTTCAAATCTCCATCTACTGATCTAAAGAACAGATGCTTACATATGATTTATGAGCATAGAAATATGTGTATATCTTCCATAAATAGTAACATGTCCCAGTAACAAAAAAATGGAGAACCGTTGTCCAAAAGGACTGGAAAACGGCATGCAGTATTAGAATATATTCACCAATTTCTTGGCTTTAGATACAAAGCAAAGTTAACAGGTCCAGCACAGCAATCCTCCATGCTGGAAAAATGTCCTCAAATAAGACTAACATGAAGGAATACTCACTCAAATTGCAGTCTGGTTCAATTGCTCAGATGTAAAAGTACATTTAGAACATAAGAATGCAATTGTGATCTAATAAATAAAAATAGCAATTAATTTTCATTCAGTTATATAATGCAGTAAGCAAAAACAACCAAAATCATATTGCATTGAGTATTTTCACATTAAATTCTGATTTTGAGGGGGTTTTAAAATCAAAGTTTAATGAAACAGTAATCAGGAAAAATTTTGGTGAGCAAAGAATAATTTCAAACCCTAAATACATTATTTTTGGAAGTACAGTTAAGTATTTGAACAAATATTATGACTGCTCCTCACATTTGCTCTGTTCCTAAACTAGCCTGGCTAATGAGCATCTCACCTCAAACTGTCCTGTACACACAGTATTACTTGACAGTTTTTACCTCAAAAGCAGTCAGTTTTTTTGACAGCAGCCTAGTTAAAGGCTACAAGCACGTGAGCTTGCAGGCTTAGAGATGTACTGGTTTCTGGGCCAGCAGAACTACAGAAGAACCCAAAAGTTTGCATACTACCCTGTGACACGTATGCGTATCGCAGAAGTTTTGGTTTGGTTTAAGAGCCGCCTCGGTATTAGTTTTGGATCTCTGAAAAGCATTTCCTGCGTGCCACGTGATTTTCCCCTTCTTTTCCTTTAGTCAAGAATATGGCTAGTTCTGCGTAACTTTAGATTTCTCCATACCATTATGTACAACTGCAGCATTCTCTCCTGACTGGGGCGGCAAGCATGAGTACTTTGAAATATTATACAGCTGCTCGTCTCCTCCAGAAGCAGCTATACTCCAGTAAATGCTCCCTGAAACATCTTTGCCCAGAGGTTTACAAAGATGTTACCACGTTTCCATAGGTTGACACAACACAAAACCATCTGATCATCTAGCTGAAAAACGCTGGCCTTTAGCATTACTGCAGAAATAATTAGGAGCCGTGCTTCAACCAACTGCAGAAACAACTGCAGTTAGTGTTTGTATAATACAATTAGAGTCTTATATTACAGGAAAGGTTATTGAGTTCTCTTCTCGCATGTTTTAAGATCAAAGAAGAAATGAACACTTTTCATTCTGTCAGGTAAAGGCCTTCCTTTTGATGGCTGTACAGTCTTTATTTCCAAGGTATAAAACTCAGACATCCACGAATAAATTGAATCTCTAATAACAATAGTCAGCTGGATTCAACTTCTCCTCTTGATGGAAGCACAGCACTGTCAATGCACAGTGAGATTTAGTACCACTGTTCATTTACTGCAGGTAAAACGTAGGTGCAACATGAGGATCTAGCATCTAAAAATAGCTTAAGATAAACAGGAAAAATAAAAAAGGAAAAGATGATAGAAACTGATGAGTGATCATTCTACTTCATTTTTTTTTCCAGAGGAGCATCCAGGTGCCAGCTGGTGGAAAGGCAGATGCCACTGATTTCAATGGACTTGCACCAGTTTACATTAACTGAGAGCCTGACCCCATGTGCATTAGAGTTATTTTTAGGCACTTGCATTGGAACTCCCTTCAGTGACAATTAAAAATACATCACATTACATCCTGTTCCCAAGTGTATGACTGGAAGCCTGTTGACGGGCTGTGGGAGAGGGCAAGTAGAAGTAGCCAAGAATTATATCCATGAGATAACTTTTTAAGATGAGTATTAACCCTGAATTTCAGCTTTTTTTTGTTTTTTGTTTTTTTTTACTGTGACTCTTTGCCTATGGAAAAAGTCTCGGCTCTCCACCTTCCAGTCGTAATTCAATGCTTGCAAAGGAAAAACAAAAAAACCCACCATGCTGTAAGACCACATAAAGTGTCTAAGTTTTAAAAAAAAAAAAAAAAAAAAAAAAAAAAAAAACTGGTGTCATCAACTAGAATTGTAAGAAAACTCCCAAACTGGGATCTGTTTGTTCAACTAAACATTTGTTCCAAGGGACTGCATTGCTGGACAAGCAGTAAAATTGTTAAAAATACTGAAACAGCTGTTGGAAGCTCTACTTCATCAAGCAGTTAATGTGAGGGAGGGAGAAACCAGAAAGGAAGAGGTGGAGCAATAAGCAAGGCAGAGCAGTACTTCATAGCTCCAGCCATCTTAGTAGGGAGTGGGAGCTAAATAATAAATTTAGATAAAGCAGCTAGCTGTTAAACATGAAGATACTGCATAAAAAAATCTCATTACCATTATTAACTGGTACAATGATTATTTGTCTTTTGATTCAAGATAACAAGATCAAAATGGAAAAGCTAACTAAGAAAAATGAAGATGCAGCTCACGTACCAACTGAAGTAATTGTTTGTACAGCACAACACCCATATCTCCAATTTAGGTCAGGCCATCAAGAAGAGGAAAAGGAAAAGAACTGAAGATGAGATGCTCTACTTCACACAGTTGCCCTCTGGAAGGGCTGGCAAAGGCAGTCACTTAAATTAAGTACAGGTCATCAGACAGGATATCTAATCTATTCCTAAAACAGGCAGCTCTCGCAGTCCAAATCCCTATGGCCTTTACAGCAACACAACGAACTACTTCCTCATGTACCTCTGTCAACTCACGTTAGGTTCCTATTTTTTTTAAAGCGATATTTCATGTACACCATGACCCTATTGCTCACAGCAAGGAAAGTGCTTTGGTTTATTTATGACCTACTAACCTTAAATAAAAAAACCATACATCCAATCTGAATGTTCACATAAGCCTGCAGATCTGAAATAAAACTTAAAATAAAGCTGGCATTTGTAATAGCTAGCTAAGCCCAGTAAGGGATTTAGAAAAAAATTAAAATTAAAACCAGATGAGAGAAGATGAAAGCATTTTTACCCTGCATAACCTGCACACATCATGAATGATGGCTGGAGCTCAGGAATACTTTTTTGTGTTTTTGTACTTACAAGTTTCAGCCCACTTCAACAGCAGCTAGGTAACCAAGGAAATACTGAGGTTTTCCCATTACAGGGTTGGGAGGGAATAATAACAACCCATGAAAGCAATTCCTTTTAAGATGCAATCCATCCAGCCACGAGCTCTACACAGCTCCTCTCTTTTCCTTACACCCCATCCTAACTGCCAGGTATCAGTCTGGCCAGACCTCATATTGAAATATGATGTGACAGAAGGAAGCAGGGAACAAGACCATAGGAATAAATACTGAAAGAAATGGCATAGAGGAAGAAAGCTTATAACAGGGAATATGTGAAACACAAGTGACCATATATATATTTTTTGCTAGAACAACATTGAACAGATGCAGATGTGCAAAAGACTGTTCAGTTGAAGAGTTTATAAAGATCTGTCATAAAGAACTCCCTTTCTCTCTACATCCATGGGGTTGAATTGTGATATGGACAGTACAAATAAATGGGGAAAAAAAAATATAAAATCAAGCTTCAGACCTAAAATATCAAGAGCAAACATCTTTTGCTGAATCAGCTCCAAAAAAAGGGAGGAAAGGGCTTCTCTGCCACAGTTGGTTGGAACTAGAACTCACAGATACTCATGATCACATTGAAATTCCTAAATAAAAAAAATCTACAGAAAGGAGAAATTCTTTACATTCCATTCTTCTGTAGTTCTCCAGCAGAATATATTAATGCCTCTGTTCTTGAGATACTTCAGATGTATTTGACAGAAATACAGTTATCTGTACAAGAGCAATTTGTTGGAAAAAAAAAAAAACAGATGCAACCAAATTCTTATCACAGCATTTGTTTAAAAAATAAAATATGCAAGGCATCATATTTACGACCGGAAGTCTTTTGGTCCTACCTCTCTTTATGATACTATAAACAAAATTAACAAATAAAAATCTTTATAAAATATTCTTTAAGTGCAGAAAGCAATGAGAGAGTACAAGATTAGCTTGTCCTCTGGTAAAAGATTTAACAAGTAGCTCCTAGAAGCCAATGAATCACTCACAGTTTCAGTGCAGTAATCTAAGAGCAGCCCCAACTAAAGGAACTCAGACCAACAAAGCTGCAAGAGAACAACCTTCTGCAGGAGAACTGCTAACAAGCATGAGGAAGGTAAAATCCCTGTGTTACCATTTTGTGCCTTCTGCTATAGCCTCAGAAATTCTTCCTGTAAAACATTAAAATTGTAATCTATACATATTGTGTGTGTAAAAAATATATATGTGTATATAGAGTGTTAAAAAAATATGAGGAAAATTTAGTCGGAAAGCTCAGATGCTGGAAAAAAAAGCTTCTGCTACTGTGGAAATTGTTATGCACTTCAATTTGTAATGAGCAACTTCTGGACATAAACAGTGTGTAGCCACATAAAAAAAACATAAAAAGAAATTTAGGTCACCAAACCTTGATGTAAACTCATCAAGAGGTGAATATTGGCAGATTTTACTCTGCTTACTTTATATTTTTACTCTATTGGGCACAGTATAAACTGTAACACTGCTTCACAATATTCTTGGCAGGATCTGTTAATACACAGGTGAAACCTTATGTTTCGGTTTGCTATGAAGTTCAGTTTTGTAACATGGACATTAACCAATCCACTTCTGCCTGGATGACCAACTACTTACATAAAGCTTGAATAAATGAAATACCTTTTCTTCTCATAGGAAGACATCTGGGAAGCTGCCAGCTCCATGCACGAAGAAGGAAATGGGAAAGAGAGAAGGGTGCTGGTATTGGTAAGAGAACAATGACTGAAATTACATCATCTGTTTGATGAAAATAATTGTGTCAATTTTGATTTCCCCCCCTCCTTTCAGACATTTAAGGATGCTGTCAAGTCAATGGAGTTCTCTTGTAGTGGTTGCTTCAGTGAACATTCAACGCTGTCGGTGAGTTTGGAATTTAAGTGAAAACCATCGACCGTTGATTGTACCCTCCAGCTAACCATCCTCCTCCTTACTTCATGCTTTCAGGCCTTCACACCGAAGATAGAAACCTAACCAGCACATGAGGTTTCTCCCCTACTCTGCCATGCTTTACAAAAAAGGTCACAATCAACATTCATTGCTGTCGGTGGGTTTAACTATGTGGACAAGCTCACTGAACAATGAATGCAACTGTGGCCCCACATTTTACAGGTGCAATTGGGAGGAACGTCAGCTCTGAAAGGAATAGTGAGAAGCAGACATTTCTTATAGGTTACATTTTTTCTGGTCAAAAAATAAATGAGGATATTCTATTTTCACTTGTTTGTTTTTAAGGGTATTTAACTATGTTGACTAAAAAACAAAACCACTGCACATTTCTGGAATATCACCCCCACAGGGTTTGGCATCATTGAAAACAAACTATCTTGTTCAGTCTGTATGTGGAAACGAGTAATAACACAGAGAGTTGTATATATGTATTCTTCAGGACTGAGCATAAGAGGAAAGGGTATTTAAATCTTATCTTAACTAGGTATTATGGAATAGTTTACAGAAGTCTCTTCTATAATTGTCAAGACAAAACCAGAAACAGGAGTCAGAATTCAGAGGCATGGACAAAATATATCAAATAAAGGATTCAGTAGTTTTACATGACAGTGATCTTACGTACCTAAATAAATGGTACCAGACAGTAAGCATTACTACATTTGCCTTTTCTAATGGTCAGATTACAGAAATAGATGTATTCCTGGTATTTAACACTAGTTAAATTGCAAAATTACTCTAAACTCTGGGTGCTTGTGTCACACTCAGTATTGCTATCACTAATGAAAAAATAAAAGTATAATTAAAGCTCACTGCTCTGTCCTTATTTCCTTAAAACTTTTGTATAATCAAGTTGGAAAAATAGAGCCCAGCCTGCATTTCTACTTTTCAGAAGTCATCCAAGGTAAGTGCAAGCCTTCACACAGCACCATTTTAATAAAGAGAATTGCTTCTAGCATTTAGGCAATCACATAACGTTCCTATTTTCTTCTTAAAAAAGCTGGGGTCTATTAACAATACTCAGTTTCATTATTTACACATTAACTTCAGCACTGCAGTTATGCAGTGCTCTAGCTCACTGTCCTTGCTTGTCACATGCAGTTTTCACCACGCAGCACTGGAATAGAGTGCACCCATCAGAGCTATCATGGGAGGAAACATTTCTACCTGCTTCATGAACTGCATACGAACAGTCTAGCTAAATAATAACTACTTAAATAATGAAAGAGATCAGCCCTCAAATCACACGCAAGACTCCATTTTTATTTAAAAACTCTGTTATTCAAAGAGAGGCACACAAATGAATTTAAAAAAAATCCTGGAATTGTTAAGACAGTACTTAAAAATCAATGGTTGGGAAAAGTATTTTTTTCATTCTGATATTTATTCGCAAAGAATCCAGTCTCCTGAGGTGAGGGGCAGCAGTTAAGTACTAATAGAAGGGGTGTCTGTGGATACATGACTTCTCAGCAACACTGCATAGAGAACCCCAGGTTCTATCTTGAAGTTCACTCATTTCTACACAGCAATGAGAACTTGAATAACTATCAAATTACATATATATTATATATATCACATTAAAAGCAAGTTATATATTATATCTAGAAGAACAAAATTTCAAGTCAAGTTGCAGCTACTTCATTCTTGTCTTATTTCTGCATTTATTACTTTTACTAGTGTGACTAATAGTTGTGTTATGCATTTATAAACAGTGAAGGTGTTATTGCAGTTTGTGGAATTTCACAGCAGCGGAAGGAGCCAGCATCCTGGCACATAATCACCTTCAAGCACAAAAGAAGAAAATACAAAAATAAATCCTATGCAACTGAGAATTGTTGAACAATACAATTGTTACAGGGACACAGGATCCAGTGCAAAAGAAAGAAGGTTAGTTACAGGGTAGCCGGGGAGGCGAGTGGTTGACGGCACTCTCTCAAAATGCACAGATGTTTTACCTGTTACAAGATATCTACAGTAATATTGTTGCCTTGTGTAAGTTGTGTCAGTGATTTTAATCATGTTTACATATCGAGACCCTCCCTAGTGTACAGATATACATTATTTTGTACAATTCAATAATTTAGTAACTCCATTACTTTACAGGATGCTCATGGGCAAAGCAATACCACACCTGGTACCACACCTCTCTGACAAGAGACACTGCTTTTCACATGCTTCCTTTACATAATGAAGCAGAAGTGATCCCCATTCAGCAACAGTAGCTGTGAAATACTGTGGGAAGTTCCTTGGTCATTTGCAAGGTTGTTGGTTTTTTTTTTTTTTTTTTTTATTAATATCATACATCCATACTCAGTACAGTATCTGCAGGCTATAGAGACCTTCTAGAAAATTGCTTCTTGATGTCACTGTAAATAACTCACTCACAGCAATATTTTTAGGTCAAGCATATCAAAGTTACAGCAAACGCAATGGACCTTGACATAATAGGAGCACTAGTTTCAAAGCAGCAAAGGAGGAGGAGAAGGAACATACTTTTCATATAAGAGATAAATCACAATTTCCCAGTGTCCACAGCACTGTGCTTGAAACAGGAGAGGCAGTACCAAGTGGTTGCTGTTAAGTTTGGGTCACTGAGGTTTTAGCTAACTCCAGACATTCTTCTATTTTTCCTAACATCTGGAGCAAAATGAGTGAAAGCATCTAATCCAAGTCTCTGCATCAAGCCTCTAGCTCCTGTTTACCAAGCACAGAAAGACACTCAATATCACCTTTCAAATTACACCGCAATGAATACCCATGAAAACCACAGGTGATTCAGGACAGCAGCAAAATGAAAACATTACACTGTCCAGCACAGCCTAAAACCATCACAATAATGTTTCTTGCTATACAGATAGTAAAGTGAAGAAATACAGTAGAAGTTAAATATAGAAATAATCTATATCTGAACTGGAAGTTGTATCTTGATCTTACATTCTAGTCATGTGTCTTTCACTGGAAGAAGCAATACTGTAATTTTGACATGAAAACCATATTTTCCTTCTTGCTGATCACTCCCTTTTCCTAAATAAACGATATTTATTTTTTCTAAGGCTATCATCCACTCCAGATTAATATCTGTATCTCCCCCTCTTTCTTCTACTTAGCTCTGCATCATTTTCTCCCAACTTCTTTAAAAAAAATTAGTCTTCCTGAGCTTCCTCTTTCAGCACAAGTGCCAGAAATGCAGACTGCGTTCCAAACAGCCCAGCCAAAGCTAGCTGAAATAGTCTGATGTCTCCCTATTTTACAAGGAACTGCTGATCATTTTCAGCCAAAAATAGCATTTGTAATGGCACCACACAGTTAGCACATTTAAATTTATCTAACTTTATTCCACAGATACATTAGTGTCCACAAGTTTTTTCCTAATTTGAAGGAGGTTCTTTCATCCCCCAAAATGCAACAATTGCCTTTATTTTTTTTAATCAATTATGTAATTTCTGCAACATCCATGGATTACAGCATTGTGGTCATAATTCCACAAGAATTAAATAGAGACTTCTTGTAGGTTTACATCTGAAAAAATATAGGGAAAGATCCAGGGGTAGGAGCTCCAATCCACAGAAGCCATGAATTACAACAGAAATTTTATTCTCTACTTGACGAGTAAAACAGAACTGAATCCCCTAGCTCTGCAGCCAGAACAAGCATGTACAATGCATATACTGACCTTTCCTGGCTTTGTTTCAGGAGATACAGTTGCACCCAAGTTAGCCCTCTTTTTTTTTTTTTTTTTTTTTTTTTTTTATTATTATTTTTTACTTTCTTTTAACAAAAGAATTACCATTCCAGTTTGCAAATAGGTTAAAATGGGACCTGAAAGTGTAACTTATCATGCAGTGATTGTTCATTTGTTTTTGTTAATCTCTATTAGAAATGCCACTCTACATCTTGACAACGAAAGACAAGTCCAAAACGGACCAGATACCAGAATTGTATGATACCAGAGTTCAGAATAGGCCTGGCAAAAAGACAAGGTACCTGGAAAACAGCATTTTCTTGGACACTAAGATAGGGGCATTTGGACTCAAAATAAACTGCAATATGCATACACTATCTGAATTGTGATATCACCTGTAGTTAATGGCAAGCTATCCCAATAATCACATAATATTAAGCAATTTGCTTGCCTGGAAATGCTATTTAGTAATTAAACAGTTAAAATATTTTATCATAGGCTTTTTGAAACAGTGAAGAAAAAAAGATACACAAATATTAATTTTAGCTAGCAGGAGCTGAGTCCAGGTGGTTGCCCTCTAAAGTCAACATCACCATCTGATATGTAAAACATTCCTAATTAACATGAAGTACACCCTGTACTAATTACTGTGTTCACCTCCAAATAATGAGCCATAACAAGCCTAGAGTTCAAGATGATCTATTTACATTTAGATGCCATGCAGTTCACCATCCTGTATCAATATGCCCCTGGTTAACACCCTGACAAAAAATGAAATTTCTGCCTCTACTGCCCTGCAGACTAGGGAAGCACAAACAGCTAAACAGATACTAGAACTAAAAGAACTTTCAGACAGACCTTCAGGATGTTATTGTGGTAGACAACGGGGAAAAGCAGTGCTGCAAAGATAGTAGCCAGCTGTGGTCTACAGAACATCGTAAGCGAAGCACAGTCCCTGCAGGAAGATATCCTTACATCTCCAGAACAATTCTAGAATATTCCAGAAATTCACACGGATTGTGGTTTGCTAACTAGTGAATTCAGATTCCCCACCGGTCAGCATACTTTTGATTTCAGTGGAATTAAACCACTTCATACAGTCTGAGGGTTTGGCAAACCAACATGCAAGAGATGTAAATGTAGCACGGTCCTGAACATTCTACACTAGAAATGCAGTCAGAGGTAAATGTCACTCTTTGAAGGAAGAGCGGGAAACAAAAGAACACATACTTGAAAAGCACACACCTCACCCCCCCCCCCCACCTACAGAAAGAGCATTTCCGCCCACAAACTGTGGGTGGTCAGGGACACGCAGCACTCGGACACCTAACTCCTCCATTCTTGCAGGTTACGGCTTTGCAGGTACAAATACAGAACTTCAAAACACAACGTGAATAGAGTATTTTGGGGCAGAAATTTAACACCCACATTATGATAATTTGGCCTTTGCCACCACATGACAGTCTCCTTCTCTTCATGAATCTTGAGGTACGTGGGTGGCAAAGAGCTGACAGCATATTTTTGTCTGACGATGGCTCCCACAGCGCAAGTGTACATACTGGAAGCAACGGCAGTTTGTTCCCTTCCTCCCTTAACACTGTGCTCTTAACTTGAGGTTTTTTTATTTCTATACAAGCTAGTAAAACTAAATCATTCACTGAGGAGAGGGGAAAAAAGCCAAAGCAAAAATAAATAAATAAATAAATAAATAAATAAATAAATAAATAAATCACCTGAGTCTTCAAATTATTTTCTGTCACAATATCCTGAACCATCTTCTCAGGCACCTTCCTCTGGCCTAGAACTAAGAACTAAGCTTTGACTTCAGATTTAGCCTTCACAAGAGATTTTCAGAAGTTTCAGACACTGCAGGTATGCGTACAAAGTCTTTTATCTGCTGTCTGGATGTGCCTTCTAGAACCAGAAGGCACAAGAGTAAGATAAGCAAACCACAGGTCTGTTTCAAATGAATACCACAAACTGACTGTTAAGAGTCAATTTAAAAAAATAATGAACCTTTCTCTGCTTCCTCTGTACTGCTATTCCAACTAGACCCTACACCACCCATCCTAACAACATCTTTGTGGATGCAG